ATAATATGCTAATTTTTGTCTTTAATATGTGTGTTGTTAATGAAACAAAAAATTTTCTTTTTTTAAATTTTGACATGAAAGATATGGGTGAAGCCAAGGTAATCTTGGGTGTAAAAATTATAAGGAATAAAAATGGGATCTTGCTTTTCCAAGAACATTATGTTGAAAAAATTCTCAGAAAGTTTGGACATCTTGAAGATACTCCTTTGAGTACTCCTTATGATTCGAGTGTGCAATTAAAAAAAGAACAAGGGTGACCCAGTTGCTCAATCTGAGTATGCATAGATTATTAGGAATCTGTTGCATTTAATAAATTTTACTAGGCCTGATATAGCTTATGCTGTAGGCAAATTGAGCAAATATACCCACTGTCTAGCCAGTAAACACTGAGAGGCTCTGGTGAGAGTCTTGAGATATTTGAAAGGTATCAGGAATTATGGTATATTATATAGTGGATTTCCTATTGTATTAGAAGGATATATTGATGCTAACTGGATTTCGAATTCAGAAGAGATAAAATCCACTAGTAGTTATATATTCACTCTTGGTAGTGGTGCAATAACCTGGAAGTTTGCAAAACAGATAATCTACACAAAATCCTTAAAGGATTTTGAGTTCATTGCCATGGAGCTGGCTGGGACTGAGGCTGGGTGGTTGAAAAACTTCTTAGCAAGTATTCCAATAGGTGAAAAGCCCACACTATCAGTGTCTTTACATTGTGATAGCCAGTCTGCAATAGCAACGGCTAAAAATAAAACCTTCAATGGCAAAAGTAGACATATTCAATTGAGACATAATATTACAAGGCAGCTACTCAAAGATGGGGTCATCTCAATCGATTATATGATATAAGAGTTAAATTTGACGGATTTATTAATTAAGCCCCTGAGGAAGAAATTTATTATTGAAACGTCGAGGGGAATGGGACTTAAGCCTGTTTGAAATTAACGGTGATGGCAACCCAACCTTTGTGATTGGAGATCCCATAAAAAAGGTTCAATGGGTAAGAACAAGTCACTTGTTAGTTCTGCTGACATTGAATTTTATCCCTTCCTATGGCTAAGAAAGTACTAGAATGCATTGAACGGAGGCTGAGTGAAAGCTCTTAGTGTTTTCATAGTCCTTATGAATGGTATATTCATTGTAGATACACTTAATGAAAACACCTATATAAATGTAGAGTGGGGCCGCTCTTATGTAATCGTGACAAATTCTCTAAAGCATTTGTTAAAACCAGGCACGCACATGGTCGATAATGTGCAAAACCCTCATTAACAGCAGAGACTATAGGGGTATAATTTGATTAATAAGACCTCTAGCACACGCTCAAGATTTGTTGGTTCAATAACAAAGTTACATCGACTTTTTATGTACTAAGTTTTATTAGTCTAGGTTTGGTTCAAGTCGACAGACACCAAATTCGAAGTGATTATCCTCCGTGTGAATAACACAGACAAACATAGATCCTTTTGACACATGTGGGGAATTGTTGTATGTGTGTCAAAAGTATGTGTGTGTTAAAGTCTCACATTAACTAAAAGAAGGAATCTCCTAGTATATATATACTAAGGAATGAAGTGGGCTAATAAAATAGGCTTGGAGAAAAAGTGGCCTTGCACACATGAGACAGGCTAACACAGGGCAATCATAGTTGAAATCAGTCGATTCGCCCCCCCTGCGCGTGAGTTCAAGAGGCAATGGGTTCTTTTTATCAGGTTATTTTCACAAATATAATTAAATAAATAATTATTTTTAGCTTACTCGAAAACCTTTGGTTTTTGCTGTTTTGAATTTGAACTTGAACCCTTGACAGTTTTTTCAGCATTAAACCTTTTCTGAAAATTGATTTTGTGAGTTAATGTTTTGTTTGCCAACATCTCCAGATAAACTGATTTTGTGAAGTTAATATCTTAAACATTTTGTCTGCCAACATTTTTAGACAGAGGCTTAATTTTGATTTACGTCTGCTTAACCCCCAGACAATTGCTTAAACGTGATTTACGAGAGTGTAACCGAAGCTTTAATCCAGTGATTATGAGCCAACCTTCATGTCTCCTTCCTCGGGCTATATATAGCCATGGGTGTTGAAAGAACAGGGTGCCATCCTCTTAAGTTTTCTGGGAAATTCTCTCCTCCCTCTGCCTTCTGCTCCTGTGTTCGTCTGTGTTTGCTTTTTAGTCTCTGTTGTTCTGTTCCCTTGCTCCGCCGTAGGAAGTACTTATTTAATTCTGGAGAACTGTCAGTCCGTCATTTCGGTGTGCTAGAATAGTTCTTAAGAATAGAGTCCTTCCGAGCACGACTCAAGCAGTTTGTGTTCACGTTTGCCATCGATCCCGCCAACATGCAGTAATGCAATTATTTTACAATAATTGGAACAATCTAGTACAGGAATTATTCTAGTTATTATTAAACTTTGGTTGGAATAGCTCTAAGAGGATGAACCCTTCTTAATGTAAGCCCAAATTTCTCCTCCATGTTTATTTCATGAGGTTGGAGACCATCTGTAGGCTTCCAATTATATTTGTGGATGAGAGAAGCTAACATTAAGTGAACTGATCTGAAAGCCAATGGCAATCCAGGACATATTCTTCTTCCTGCCCTGAAAGGAATCAGCTTAAAATTATGGCCTTTAAAATCAATTTCACTCTCCAAAAATCTTTCAGGCATGAATTAATTTGAGTCACACCATATTGTCGAGTCTCTTCCTATAGTCCATGTGTTGACCAGAATTTATGCATTCTTGGGCACTATGAAGCCATAAATCTCTGCATCTTTTAGTGCCTTATGAGGTAACAATGGAATTGATGGGTGCAAGTGAAGAGTTTCCTTTATCACTGCCCTTAAGAATGGCAACTCTAAAATATGTGATTCTTCAATTTTAATGTCTTCTTCACCAATGACTTGTTGGAGCTCTTTTTTCAGTTTTCCCAATTTTTTTGGGTTTCTTAATAGCTCTGCCATTGCCCACTCCACTATACTTGGTGTTGTATTGGTCCCCATAACTAACAAATCCTATAGAATAGAACAGTAACATGATTAGCAATGTCGTACGCACTGAAAATAGTAATATATTTATTAGAGAGAATTTTAGTTAAAGACCATCATAGAGACTTAATTTTAAGTGGGTCCGAAAATTTTTTAAAATTTTAGTTCAGTCTAAGGAAGAAAAGTCAACAAATAACCTTTACTTGTTACATAAAATCACTAGTTATTAATTTTTTATTACACTTGTTAATTTAACAATACTATTTGTAAATTACATTTGTTCGTCAGACAATTAGCAACATTAGTTGTTAATTTGTTAACATTACTTGTTATTTTATTAATGTTAGTTGTATATTAGAAGACCTATCAGTAATTTACTATTGATATTACTAAATTATAAGACCTACCAGTAATTTACAACTGATGTTTATCAATTAATAAGTAAAGTTAGTAATTTAACAACTGATGTTACTTCTTATCATTGAAAAACTAATGTCAAGTCTTATATAATTATTGATATGTTAACTTATATAATTTGCAACTCGTATTCGTAAATTAACAAGTGGAGTAAGAAAATTAACAACTAGTGATTCTGTATAACAAGTGAAGGGCGTTTTGGTCTTTTCACCTTGAGATTCTTTTGACTTTTCTCTTTGGATTGAACAAAAATTTTAAAATTATTTTGGACCTACCCGAAATTAAGTCTTTACAGTGATCCTTAACTAAAATTCTCCCTTTTAGTATCCTGTTAGATTGATGAGATTGTGTTGATCAATTGCAGATTGTTACACATGGCTGACCATAACCACCACACAATATCACTCATCTCAACTTAACAATTCTTTAGAATAATAGCATGTAGTTTAATTTTTAAGTAATACATTAAAACAATTCTAATATATATAAAACTTCCCTGAATTTTAAAGAAATTGCACAAAGCCCTCTCACTTCTAAAAGTTTAAAATTAGCCTATTTAACCTTTAATTTTATGTTTTACCACATGCAAACTCCCCTTGGCTTAGTAGCTGGGGAAAAGAGAGCACACTTTCTCACTTCGATAAAAAAATTATATTATTCCTTGATTTTGAAAACGAGAAGAATGACAATGCTTTATTTATAATAGTTCATATAGGTGATCCTAGACAAAGCATTTAAAACTATAAAAAAAAAAAGGGTTACAATAACTTAATGAGAGGTTATGATACTTAATGAGGGTTTACAATTACTTTATGAGATTAATGGGGTTATAACAGGGGAGGTTATGGGTATTAAAAGGACTTATTAGAGGTGTATGGAGGTTACAAACACTTATCATAGCTTATGAAATGGAGTGTTATAGAGATAGTAGGGGTTATAATGATGGAGCACCCAATTAATTCATTTTACCCATAGTGTTATTTATTAGTTATCTTACTAATAAAAGTTAAAAATGTATCCGATATAAGCTATCATTAGCTTACATTGGATACTGCATAAATTGCTATGTGTCTTTTTTTTTAATATGACATGATAATTTTTTTTGGTTAGATAACTAATAAATGATAGTAGAAGGGAGTCTGTGATGTTAATTTTAAATTTTTAAACGTGAGCTGTTTTGTGCTACTATTTCAAAATTTAAAAGTGTTTTGTATATTTTAGCTTTGAAACAATGAAGATTTCAATTGACTGTTGACGAATATAAACTTTCTAAGGTTTTATTTGAACAAGACCAAAAGTGCATCTCTACACCACATCTCCAACGACGCAGGTTCGTTTATTGATATGGACACGAGAGAGCATAGAGAATTCTTGGAGACACTTACCATAAACAAATGCACGATGTCCAAACGGCCCACTTGAGGTTTGTCTTCTTCCTTCTGACAGAGCAATGAACCTAACACATCGTTGAAATTCTGCGACTCCGTTTTTGAGGCTCTAATCACTTCCATTCTTTCTCCAACAATATCATCGAGCATCTTGAACAACTTTCCAAAATAATTGTCCATTCTTGAGCATGCACCTTGTGGATCAAATACTCACATAACAGGGAAAAAATCTGCAATATTAGGTTTCCCAGCTTCTTCCAGTATACCCAATACAGTATCTCTAAACTCTCGAGATGAATCAGAAGCAAAACCAGCGAGGTCAACGGAGAAAAGAGTGCTAGTTATGGAATTAAGACTTGTCGTAAAGGTAACTTCACTGATATCCAAAGCTTCACCTTTTCTGCAACATTCATTCACATGCTCTAGCATTTCCTGTAACTTCTTTAAACGCAAATTTTGGGTGGAATCAAGCCGGGAAGACGAGAATATTTTGGTGGTCAAATGAACTGAAGGATCCAAATACACAACAGAGAGTATGTGGTGGTCAAATGTTTGAAGTATGTAAGGGACTGTTCGACCTGAAAAAGATAAGTCGTGTTTATGAAGCGCTTCTATGGCCATGTCTGGAGAGGAAATAACTATGTTTGTCATGGCGCCTAGTTTGATAGTCATAAGAGAGCCATATGTTTTTGAGAGTTTAGAGAGTGATTAGTGAGGATTTTTGCCGATTTCCAAGATGTTTCCTATGATCGGAAACGAAGGAGGGCCTGGTGGGAGCTTCCGAGATTTTTTAGGGTTTTGGTTTTGGTGGAAGGAGATGACGATACAGAGGCATGGAAATAGAAAGGTAAGCACGAGCACAAGTGTTGAGTTGTCCATGGCCAAGCTAAGAGTGTTCTCTAACAGTGAAATAGGAGCTAATATATATATATATATATATAGACACACACAGGGACACAAAAGTCATAGGAAGGAACAATATTTGATAATGCAAGTGCAACCTCCAAATTAAAATATCTATTGTGGTGTTTTGATTTGTTTTGTTTATATACATTAGTCAAAATAATCATCACAGTACACGATAAAATCCATAGCGAATCACTTTTACTTTTTAACTCCTAAGAAGTTCAAATAATTTTTTTGTTGAATAAAATTTTTTATACCAAAAATAAAATACCCTTTTATTTACAATGTTAATGGACAATGTAAAGGACACGTTGGAAAAATTAGAATAATTTTCTAGGAAAGTTTTAAGAAGTTGGAATTGATTTATAAGTTTAAACAGTCCAACATTAACTTATTAGCGGCTAGTCACTTGGTTAATGGGTTATTTAGTTTACGTCAGAAAATATTATTTTTTTTATTTGACTCAATTTTTTTCAACCAAATCCAACATGATTGTTATATTTCTTTCATCCCAAATTATAAACATTTTCGTGGGTGACTTTACATCTCAAAATATAAAACATTTTGAGGAGATTAATGTTTCATTAAGTGGGCTGATTCCAACATTAAAATTTCTCTTTATTTAATTTCCATCCCTCTTTCTTTTCAATATATTAAATGAAGGTTAATTTTATATTTTTATATTTTTATTTTGAAAAAAGGTTGTTAAATATATTTAATTAAGTTTATTAATATGTGAGATTTTATCTAAAAATATTTTATAACTTAAGGTATAGTAAGTATCAAATTATTTGAGCTCACCCATATAACTCAATCCATATTATCAATTCTACATAAAATCACCAATGCTGATTGAGTTTAGTAGAAGAAAATAATCTCTCATAAAATCACCCATTATGAATCAATTGTGGTGGTGGTGGTGTTGTGTAATTATGTGTGACCCTAATTTAGACACGTTCATATTTAAGAGCCTCAAGCCTCAACGCAGTCATCCATTTGGCAACCATCTAATTTATCTCACACACTCCTTTAAACCATCCACCTCTTCTTCAAAGCACCTTTTTTATTCATAAAGTTTTTCATGTAATGAGTCTTAAAACTTTTATGAGTGAAATGAGGTTTATAACACTACTATAAAATAGACTTTTCACGTCACATTTCTAAGCATTTTCACGTCACAATTGAAGGGAACATCATACTGGGCGACTTAGAATAACGACTTATCCACGTCGCAAATGCCTATGATATGGAATATTATAAACCACATCCCCTTTAATAATAGATGAGGTGGTTTCTACAAAATCCACATCCTCCCTTATAGGTGGTGGATGTAGTTTATAAAGAAACCACGTCCCCCTCTAGTAAGAGAGACGTGGTTTCTCATTGCCTAGTTCATAGATTGATAAAGCACATCCCTCTTGATATAGGGGGACGTGGTTTCTCATCTGGATTCACAAACCACGTCCCTTTCTACCTATAAGGGAACGTGGTTTTTAAAAATTTTTTATATATAATTTGCATTTATTATACAACTAAAATAGAATTTGCCAAAATATGTCATAGAAACAACCAATTCATACAGTAAAAGTCTAATAAATAGCAATTTATTTACAACCATTTATACACTATCACAACAAAATACACCAAATGCAATGGAAAAAAAAAACGATTGCATCTATAATTATATAATTATAAAATTATCTAAAATAATAAGTACATACTTTTATGGGCTCAAAAAAAATTTAAGCATCATAATATCATATACATCATGTAAAACTAAAATTAATTTATCACATTCTTAGGTCAAAACAAAAATCACATTTTTGCATGGAGACTTGTTCAAGAAAATAAAAAAAAAGGAAAAAAAATACCTGGAGAGAAGAGAAGAGGTCCTTAGTCGTGAGTGGTTGGGCTTCTTCGTCCACAGAGCTGCCAAGAGAGACAGAGGCAATGAGGAAGCTAGGAGATAAGAGATAGAGAGCGAGGGAGGGAGCTAAGAGATAAGAGACAGAGACAGGGAGAGCTGAGAGAGAGAGTGAGGGAGGGAGCTAAGAAAAGAGAGACAAAGAAAAGAAATGAGGAACCTGAGATGAGAGAGGGAACTATAAGGGAGGGAGCTGAGACAGAGACAGAGAAAAGAGATGAGGGAGCTGAGATAAGAGAGGGAGTTGCGAGGGAGGCAGAGACAGAGCATAGGGAGCTGACACACTAGTTTTGAAAAATGAAAAAGTGAGTATGCACGGAGTTAAAAAATTCAACATATTATACGTCCCCTTCTAGAAGGGGGACATGAATTTGAGAATCCACATCCCCCAATGGGGAGGGGGAAGTGGATTTAAGAATCCACGTCCCCCTCTCAGTTAGGAGACGTGGATCCCATAGGGGGGAGGGGGACGTGGATTGTTTAGAATCCATGTCCCCTTCCCAGTTGGGGGACGTGGATTTTAAAGAATCTACTTCATCTAGCTTATAGGGGACGTGGATTTTTAAATTTACTTTCCTATCCTATTTGTGTGATGTTGATTTATTTTTTTAAGTCATATTTTCAAAATGGGACGTGAATTAGGGTAGTAGAAAAGCCTTTTTGTAGTAGTATAAATTTAGGAAGCTTTTTTTTCTTTAATAAATTAGTATTTTGAGATGAGCTCTTTTTTTAAAACGTGCTTTTAACGAATCACTTCTTTTCAAATTAAACCTCCTTGGCTTACTTATTCAATTAGTGTAGTAGACAAATTTTTCTTAAAAATCTCTTTATAAGAAATAAAACATCGTTTCACATAAAGTAAGGAATACAATAAGGATTATAAATATGTTTGACATTTAACTTTTTTTAAACTACCATATTGATTGTTTAAATTTTGGTAAAAAAGATAAAGAAAGGACTGCACGGGAGGCAAAAAATAAAATAAAATAAAATAAAATCCTACCAGTCTATCGAATTGTAGCAAGTCAAGTAATTGCTGTGTAGAGTTGAGAATACGAGTTGGCCCGACCCTTAAGGGCTCAGGGTCAGGTCCACAAGGCCTTTTTTAAAAAAATAAAAAAATAAAAATAAAATTAAACATTATAAATTAATTAAAATATTTTGAAATTAAAAAAATAAAATCCTTATAATTTTTTAAAAATTAAACAACACACATTTAGAAGTCTAGTAATTCAATTTAAATCTTGGTTAAAAAACAATTTATTTTTTATAAATATACAAACATAATAATTATAGAAAAATAAAAAAAATATTATGAATTTTATAAATACACTAATATCTGTTAAATTATATTAAATTAATTTTAGAATAAATTAAAATTAATAATAATATAATGCATGTAGGATCAGGTGAGCAGATCATTGGCTTCAAACACATGTTCCACTAAAGAAAATAATAATAATAATAATAATAATATAACAGGGCTTCAAGGGCTACCCGAGCCCGAGCCTTTTTTTACAGGGCTTATCAGGGCTAAGCCCTCAAACCCGATTACTTTTTAAAAAAATTATTTTAAAAGTCCGAACTCTTATTTAAACAAAGCCTCCAGGCCTGGCCCTTATTCTCGACTCTATCACAATGCATGTGCTTCATTTTGTCTTCATTTATTCTTTGTTAGGTACCATATCTTTATCTATCATTTTTATTTAAAAAACAAATTTATTCTCAAATTAATCTAATGTATAAAATATTTTGATCACTTAGCATGTATATGTAACTAAAAGAGGAAAAAATTAGCTCTCAAATCAATTTAAATTTTATTAATCTAGTCTCTTTCCCTATATTTTGTTCTTTTATTTTTTTTAAAAAAAATTCAAGCATGCTTTTTTGGCCTAAATAATTACACTTCTTTTCATCAAATTTATATGGCTACCATCAATTATATTATGTTATCTATGTTAGCAAATTTTAACAGTATTACTTCTTATTTAAAAAATAAAGAACAAATTGATAACTGAAATAAATGTAAAAGACTACATTGACAATAATTAAATTTAAAGAATTAAATTGATAACTAAGATAAACTTTAACGAATGAAAGTTTCATTATTCCAAATTTAAATGAGAAATAATGCTGTGTGGTGGTTATGGTGATATATGATGACAATGAAATCCCATGATATATTTTGGACAATGAGTTTAAACGAGAAATGACACAACAGTCAAGTGGGAAGGTTAAATATCGTAGGGGGAGAGTCACGTGCTGAGCTGTGTCGGCATGAAGCCTCTTTTGCCCTCTTTAGATCTTTACATTGAAAATTTTCCACATCAGATTTATTATACAAATCTTAGCTGTTATCTGTTACTCATCCATTCCCTCTCCAACTTGCATTCCGATGAATATCCACTGAACATCCCTTACTACTTAATTATTTAATGTGAGATTTGATATCCTATACTGTCAAGTCTCCATCATGTTTCTTCTCCAACTTGCATTTCTTTGATATTTAGTCAACTTGGTCGCCTCTTCAACTTCATCATGGCCCCACAATTTGCATCATACTACAAATATATCCCACTGCTTTTATTTAAAAAATTAATTAATTCTCCATATGTACTCCTCTTGCCCTTTGTATAATAAGCATAGTATTAAAAATCTTGTCAACCCATTAGTTGAACCAATAAATCATTCAATCACTGTCTTAATTGGTTGAATGAAATCATCTGTTTGCGTTAAATCAGACTACAAATCCACTATGTATATTTTTGATCCCTAACCCTTAAATCAATATATTAACCCATTGAGTTTTTAGCATCTTGAT